TCTGCAGACTAATATCCGACCAGTCAAGATTCCGACTAATTTCAGAGCACTCACCAAACAATCTTTCGCACCATTTAGAGTAAGATGCGGTGTTGCTTCTTCCTCCGAGAAGAAACGATACAACATCACTCTCCTTCCCGGCGATGGAATCGGTCCCGAGGTTATCTCCATCGCCAAAAATGTCCTTCAACAAGCTGGATCTTTAGAAGGTTCTCTCTCTTTTTTCCCTTTATTTTGATGTTGTTTTCGGAGTTAATTTGAGAGGTCACTGTAACGGAAATTGGTGGTACTGAATCGAATAGGAAGATGTGAGAATTGGAAATTGATGTCTGGTTTGATAGGGCTTGGCTTTGTAATGAAAGTTGGTGTTTATTTAGTCGCGTCTGTGATGTGTAACAGGACTGGAATTTAGCTTCAAGGAGATGGCTGTCGGAGGAGCTGCTTTGGATTTGGTCGGAGTTCCATTGCCGGAGGAAACCATCACAGCTGCAAAAGAATCAGACGCAGTGCTTCTTGGAGCCATTGGAGGGTATGTCTTCTCTCTTGTCACACAACTACTGTGTTGGATCTACTCTTTTTGCTTTGTTCATGTGCTTATCTTTTGGGAAGCACAATCTCTCTTTTGATCATTTTTGGTGTATGATTTTAGGTACAAATGGGATAAGAATGAGAAACATTTGAAGCCTGAGACGGGGTTACTTCAGCTTCGGGCAGGTCTTAAAGTCTTTGCAAATCTAAGACCTGCTACAGTTCTACCACAGGTAATGATCGGTTTCCTAATCTCAGGAATTGTTTTGTAAGACTTGTAGTTTTGTTTCTTGTGTGAAACTCAATTTATCGGTTTTATTTTTCAGCTTGTGGATGCTTCGACTTTGAAGAGAGAGGTAGCAGAAGGTGTCGACCTAATGGTTGTAAGGGAGCTTACAGGAGGTCAGTTTTGATTATTTTGATTAAAACTGATCTTAATTCGTGTCTTTCTCGATTTCGTAGCTGGAAAGTTTCTTGACAATGTGATGTCTCATGGAAATAGGTATTTACTTCGGACAGCCAAGGGGCATAAAGACCACTGAAAATGGCGAGGAAGTTGGGTTTAATACTGAGGTTTATGCTGCTCACGAGGTACTCTAATGAAAACTTTGATGCAGATTTTCACGGACTGTTTAACTATTAAAAACCTCCTTCTCTCTATATTAAGTACTACAGACAGATGTAATAACGCATTTCTTATGTTCCTCAGATTGATAGAATTGCTCGTGTTGCCTTCGAGACTGCTCGAAAACGGCGTGGCAAGCTGTGTTCTGTTGACAAAGCTAATGTCTTGGAGGTACGGTTGATAGTTACTTTGTCCTTGAATTGTTTTCCTCTCTCGTGTAGAGTAGCACATATAACACCCAAGCTAACGTGATTTTCTCTTTTGCAGGCCTCAATTTTATGGAGAAAACGAGTAACAGCATTAGCCGCTGAATATCCTGATGTTGAGCTGTCACATATGTATGTTGACAATGCTGCGATGCAGCTTGTTCGTGACCCAAAACAGGTACATGTATTTGCCAAACTAGTCAGCGTTGATTGCATACCTTGATGTGGGACTATGTAAATCTTTACAATGGTTTGATCGTATTACAACTGCAGTTTGACACCATCGTCACAAATAACATTTTTGGTGATATATTATCCGACGAAGCTTCAATGATCACAGGAAGCATTGGAATGCTTCCATCTGCTAGTCTCAGTGATTCGGTATAATACAAAATAAACTTATCTTTGAGTATATGCAGCAATATGATCACATCTGAACATAATCCCGTCATGTTTAATGCAGGGACCTGGACTTTTTGAACCTATACATGGTTCTGCACCTGATATTGCTGGACAGGTCCTATGACTCTCTTCTTTCAAACAAACACGGCTTTTTCTTCCCCAATATCAAAATTACTTCTATGCCAGACATAAAGAGCAAAACTTGTCGATTCTTTGAATGTGCAGGATAAGGCAAACCCATTGGCAACCATTCTCAGCGCTGCGATGCTTCTGAAATATGGACTTGGAGAAGAAAAGGCAGCTAAGAGAATTGAAGACGCGGTCTTGGTTGCTCTGAACAAAGGGTTGAGAACTGGAGACATTTACTCTGCGGGAACTGTACTTTCCTTGAGCCATCCTTATTATATGTTTCTTTTTTCGATAAACGTTCCGAGTTGGTGTTCGATAAATGCTAATCTGTTTGTGATTTTCAATGGTGTGTGAATCAGAAACTGGTGGGCTGCAAGGAGATGGGAGAAGAGGTTCTCAAGTCAGTGGACTCTCAAGTTCCAGCTTCTGTTTAATCATCTGTACAACTTTGAAGAGTGTGAATCAATAGCCATGAAGCGATTTTTTTTTTTTTGATTTTCCAATAATAAGTGTTGTAACGCGACGAATCTCAGTTGCATCAGCGAAAATTTCTGTCATGTTAAATTATTAGCGGGAATAACAACATCGAAACTTTGGTGATTTTTTTCTGTTGAATCCTCACTGGATACATAGTAAATTAGGCGTGAGAGAGATTTCCATTGCGACGGTTTGATATTGTACCGGGGTAAGAACTGAATATTGATTAAGAGGAGAGAGCATTTCTGATCCTATTTTAATTAAGTAAAACGTGTGGTTGACATATAAATAGCTTTTAGAATAGAGAGAGTGCGGGTAGAATATAGATTGTGCGGTGCGAGGCCATTTCAAAATGTAGGTCATAAAAAAAACTACCTTGAAAATTTTCATCTTTG